TGCGTAAGATATATTGATGTGGTAATAAACATGACACATCACTACACACTACTACATCAATATCGCACGCATACATACTCACAAATTGTCGGTAAAACAGCGGATTTTTGGAGTTTGATCTAGGGTTTAGGATCCTCTTAAAAGGCTTTGTATTATCCGTTCATGTAATCTAAAGCGCGCGATATAAAGCACTCATTTTACAAAACTTTTACACTAATGAAATGTTTACGTCAGTTATGTACGACACAAAAAATGTAATTTATTTTTTTTCGTTTTTACTACAAATTTGTGTGTAGCGCGCTTACACTTTATGTCTATTTTAATCCTGTAAAAGGATTTTCAATTCCGTTCAGTCAATTCAAGAAATCCTTACGACTGCAATGTGTTTTAACAATTTTATTAAAACATTTATTTTTTGTAAAAAAAACGGAGTAATAATTTAAAATAATTTTTGATACTTTTCGTTCATTACTTGTCCTATCTTCTACTCGATATTTTATATATGTATATAATATATGTATATTATGTTATATTACTATAACAAAAGTTTTATTTTTTTTTTTATATATTTTTTATATTATTTAGTATTAAAGCATTTTATTTTTTAACACTTTTCTATCTAAGTCATTTTTTAATAATAAATGATACTGAGAAATAAAATGAGAAAATTACATTAAAAACTTTGGAACAAGAAGATAAAAGTATTGCAGAAGTCATAAAACTCATTATTTTTACATTTCTCCATCTCATAAGGATGTAATCAATGTAAATTTAATTATAGCATAATATACTAACAAGGGAAAGACCAGGTCAGTATATCACGGATCCTGATCCCAATTTTTTTGGTGAAACTAGAGACAAAACAAAGATATAGTGTCCGAGCGTTTGATTAAATGGGCCCTAATTTTCGAATAAGAATTTTCGAAATATTGTCGGAATTTAAAGGGCGCCGTCGTGCGCCTTATAAGCTTCTCCGATAAACTCTCTCTCAACCAGTTCGACATAGCCCAGTGAATAAAGGGCTTGCTTTCCAATCTGGGAGTCCATGTTCAATCCCAATTTTTTTGCTGCAATTTTTTTAATGCGTGTTTTTTTCTCATTTTTTGTTACTGATATTGTAATGTACGATTTTTTACATAAAAATTTGTATTTTTTCCAAACATCAT